ATTAAAAGCAGAAAGGAAAAAAAAAAAAAAAAAAAAACCCGAAGCCTGAAACAAGCTAAACCTCAAGCAACACAAGCCTACGGCTCTTGCCAGCACCTCTATGCTCCTGTACTTTCTTCCTGTTACCGAGGGGATCGGCACTTGCTTCGTTTATCTCCTGTGTTACGCTAATACTGTCACATGCACGAAGGGGGTGCAGCTGAACAGAGTGCCCCGCCACCGCCAGGCAACGCTCACGAGGGAGCTGCTCGGAGAGGCTGCGTGGCACGGGCCGGTGCTGCTTTCTGGGAGGGCCTTCAATACCAACGCCAGCTTTTAAACTCAGGCCCTGCTCTGACTCCTTCCAAGTCTCAGCCTGATGCGCGAATACAGAGGCAGCCTTTCACCTACGTTCAGCTGGAGCCAAGTTTTAACGGCTCGGGATGATCCGCAAGGCAGCAAAGCTGGGGTTCCTTGCCGTAGAAGTCTTTGGTGTATCCCATGAGTGTGCAAAACGTAGAGCCACCAGCCCTCTGACCCCCTTCCTCCCCCACACCTGTGGCCTCAAAGCGTTAGCGTGGGCCGCGCCGCTGACGCCTGGCCTCAGTTATTCTCGTAGGAGGCCAGGAGAGCAGCGTCGACTGGCTCCATGCAGGAGGGACACGTGAAGGAGCGCATGAGCCAGTCATCGATGCAATCCACGTGGTAGATGTGCAGGCAGGGCAGGAATCGGATGGGGTCACCGTACACGAAATCCAGCATGCAGATCACACACCTGTGGCCAGAAAGAGGGGATGTGCTGTTAGCTCGCTGGCTGCAGGGGAGACATCGGGCCTCAGTGCTTTCCTGCACTCCCTGGCTGTGTCTACATTGGCGCAATCTTGCGCCAAAGCGGCCGCTTTTGCAAAAAAAACCATGCTGCCTGTCCACACTGGTGGGGAGTTCTTGCGCAAGGACACTGACGTTCTAATGTGTGAAATCAGGGCTTCTTGCGCAAGAACTAGGATGCTCCCGCTCAGGAATAAGCCCTCTTGTGCAACTGTTCTTGCACAAGAGGCCAGTGTAGACAGGCAACATGAATTTCTTGCGCAAGGAATTTCTTGGGTCACGTGTGGCCCAGTGGGGTTCAATGGGTGGCCGCAAGACATTTTGTTTACTATTGCCCAGGGGCAGGGCTGCCCGATTCCAAGCCCACGTAGTTCTTTTCCTACCGGTTTTATTACCCATAATTCAAGGGCACGTCAAGCGAGGCGCGTGCCGACACAGACTGTGAGAGCTGCCTGCTCCCTCTGCATCCAGTCATGGCGCTGCTACCATTCAAACAGACACCCCGCAAATTTTACAGGTGTTAGTAAAACTACCCTAACCCAGGAGACTGCATTTCTTACGACACTCTTGTGGCCCATGGAGAGGCAGGGCCACTCACTAGCCTGGGTTGCCCATCGCTGCTCTACTTCCCACGAGCCCTGGGAAGAGAGAAAAGCCACAAGAGCAAAGTCCTGGCCCCAGCTTCTCATTGGCCAGGGGGCTGTTTAATGAAATAACCTGCCCCCAGGGGAAATTTGTTCCTAACCTGTCAGCGAGGTATTGACGCCCTTTAGAAGGCTGCAGCCCACGTAACCTGCCCAGGTGTGCTCTCGATAGCTCCAGGTACACCGAGGCTGGCTTTAACCCTGCTCAGCTAGCTATCCTGGGGCAGAGTTCAACAGGCTGGGACTTGTACCACACAAAAGGCATTTCCCTTTATCGGTGTTAAACAGTTTTTCCTTCAGGTCTCACTGAATGGTCTCTTGATTCTGTCTGACTAGCAGAGATAAAGAGCACCCCATATATCTTCACGCTTCTACCATGTCCCTTCCTCCCCATCCTCTATCCAAGCTGTACTCTTTCTGTGGCTCCCTCCATTTTCCTTGCTTATCCCTGGTCTTAGATCAGCTACATCTCTTTGGGCAGATGAACACAGCATTCAAGGTGCTGGTGAATGGATAGAATTGCCAAGTAATTTCCAGTCTCGTTTTCACGCGCCTCACCCCTTCACATGGGAGACACTCAAATGCTAGCTGACCTTTGCAACTCCAAGCTTCACAAGCACAGAGCTCTCAAGGAGGAACTGGGTTGGTTATGTACAGGAGAGGGTTGGAAGAGCATGTGAAGCAGTTTGGAAGAAGTGGAATCAGCCCACTGGATTAAAAAAAAAAAACATTCGTAGAGGGCGAACTGTGTGCTGGCTGCTTTAGCAAAGAGGTACAAAGACAAGGACCCGGTCCTCAAAGACTTTCCGTTCTAGGCAGACATTATCCAGCCTCCTGAAATACTGCAGGCTTAGAGCTACTATGTTGGTTTTCCTCGAGGGTTGAGTGGATTTTTCTGCCAAGGCTGGAAAGTTTCCATGACAATTTTGGAGTTACTGCAAATCTAGGCAGTAAATCTGAGGACTATTTAGGGGTGGCTTGTTCCCGATTGTTGTCAACCCCAGCAGCTCAGCCTGGACTAGGAGAAGAAATGAAGGGTGTTGGAAGCAAAGGACATACTCTTTCACTTTTTTTTCTGATGGTTCCGTGCCCGGATCGAAGATCCCTTTGGGCAGGTGCTGGATCAGCCCGATCCGCTGGGCAATTCGGATCTGTTCCTCTTCCGTTAGCTGTGTGGCCAGTCGGGTCTGGCTCGGCGTGGGGTGGTACACGGGGATCGGCTCATGTTCCTTCAAAACCAGAAGACAGAGCTCATTACCCTGGCAACAGGCTGACACTCCCCCCTTCTGATTTCAATAGAAAACAAACTTGCCACGATGGGATACGTCGATCTAATCCTTCCTCAGGGGACGGACTTAAACGAACCCTTCAGGTTCCTTTTGTCCCAGCATTTCTATTCTGCTATTTAAGGAGTTAATTTTGCAGTCTAACCAACTAGGAGACTTGAAGTGCCTTTATTTGTTCCGCAGTAGCATCCAGTGGGCTCAGTCCTGTACCAAGACCTCAGTGCACTGGGTGCTGTACAGTAGTAGGTGTATTATGGTAGCAGTTAGGAACCAGAGTTATGATGGCCCAGAAGCCCAGTGTGCTAGGAGCTGTACATGATTTATTAGGAGTACTACGGTAGCCTCCAGCACCCCAGGAACCCATCGTGTAAGATGCTGTAAAAAAAAAATCAGCCCCTGCCCCAGACAGCTTCCAAACCAAGTGCAAGACGAGAGAGGATGGGGGACATAGATAAGGAAGCCCCAGGAAACAAAACTATCAGCATGTTGGGCAGCTGCCTGGCATCAAGCTTTGTACAGGAAGAAACACTAGGCTGACCCACCCAGCTGATGCCATGGCTGTGGTAAGATCTGAGGGGCACAGCATAAAACCCTCATCCAGAAACAAACGTGCACGTGCTAATCCTGCCCCTACGCCCCAGGTGTGTAAGAGAAATCCCTCCCCTTCCAATGACAGGGCAGGACACTGGGCTGATATGCTGCCCCGTCTAGTGTTTTTCTACCAAGGCAATAGGTACCTTAGGCCATCTACACGGACAGGCTTTTTCAGCAGCAAAGCTGTACTGATCTACAGGCCCCTCCCTGCCTACAGGCCTCTCCAAGGGTCCTCCTCATACTCTCCCGGCATGCCATAAGCTTGCTCGCTAGCCAATGGCACAGAGCTCTCCCTTTCGGCAGAATAAAACCAGCTCAATGAACGGCGGTAGCTAACTCAGCGGGAGAGCACGCTACGCGCCGGAGCACTTATGCTGGCAAAACTTATGTCACTTGGTGGTGGGGAGGTGCTTTTCACACCACCAAGCAATACAAGGTAAGTGATAGTGCAGACACGGCCTTAGAGTTTACATGGCTCTGCGCATTGGGCCGACTTCTTCCAACCTAACTGGGCGTTTCTACAGCACTCAGGAGACAGCTGTCGAAACGCCAAGCCCAGAGAGGAATGTTTAGGGTGGAGCTAGACTGAAATTGAGCACAGTGGAGGCTGAATATCAGGGTGGAACAGTCTTCCCAAAGGGAGACTGTGAGAAGCCTCATTGTTGGGGTGTTGCAGACTAGGACCCAAGGCCTGGGAATAGCCCATGGGGATGATCCCAAGTGGGACAAGCCAGGAGACTCTGGCTTCCAGTTTGCAGGCAGGAGATGGTCAGAAATCCCACCCGGTTTTTCTGGGCATGACAGAGCCCCGTGCCCAGAGGCAGCACCTGCCAAAGGCTGGCAGGCGGAAGAGAATAAGCCTTGAATGCAGGAGTTCCTGGGAGGATCCTGGTGGCCCCTCGTGCCCAGCCACACACCCACACAGGACTGGGAGTGCTGCTGAGTGGGCCAGGTAGGAGCCATCACTCGCCCCTGCTGTGTGCTGGTACCCTTCCCAAAGGAAGCTCCCCATTGACCACCCTCAGCACCAGAGCCAGCTGCCCTGCAAGCCGCCCCGTCTGCCTCATGGGGTGCAAACACCCCAAACCCTCTACAGACTCCCTTACTGGCAAGCTTCTCAAGTGGCCAACAGCACAAGCTCCCCACACACCCAGAATCTGCTCCCCATAAGCAGTAGCCCCGTCTTCCCAGCTCAGCCCCCCCAACTACTCCCCTCTCCTGACAACCCACCCGCAGCATGGGCCACACCTCTTCTCCCCCCACCCAACATGCCTTTCCCTTCTCCTGGGACCAACATGGGTACACCATTTTGCCCTATCCATTGACTTCATTCAACCTAAACCTAAAAACAAATCAGCTGCCATTATTAATGTCTGAATAATGTGTGCTGGCCTGGTTATTCATGTGTTTGTTGTATGCGTGCATTGAGTTAATTCAGTAGCACATTGCTAGGAAATAAACCCAAGAAGAGGGAGGCAAAGACAGACATACACTGGATAGACAATGCAAAAGCCCTTTTCATTGATGCTCTGGTGCAACCATCTGCTGGACTTGCAGGACAGTTTTCCCCAAAAATGAATCCGTCCCCTTCTGGGGAAAGTTTAAGGGTGACAAACACTTCCTCAAGAGAAGGGAATGTTTTTGAGACTGTGAACCCAGAGCATAATGTATGTGGAGGCCTGGGATAGGATAGATGTACCCAGGTTCCCACTAGAATGGTAAGGCTCTAGGTAAGAGAAATATGCATGTAGAACTTTTGTTGTTATAAAATGCTTTTCTCTTATTGCTATGTTCTTGTGATTGAAATTATAAAATATTTGGTCCATGGTGGGTGAGCGGGTGGCCAGGCCCCATTGGTGGGGTGAGGCCAGAAGGGGGAAATGCCTTCAATGTCCTGAGGCTCCTGGAAGTGGAGGGGCATTGCCCTGTGAAGGGCAGGGGGGCCTGGGCTAAGAGGATCTCGCACTCCTGGGACCAGGCGTTTCTCACAGAGGATCCCTGCTTGTAAAAGGAGGCTGGGTTGTGGGGCTGGGAGGGACTCAGCACTGGACCAGGCGAGTGCCTGGCTCAGAGCCTCTCTCTCTACAGCCTCTGCTCCATTAGGACAAGTGGAGCTGCTGCTCAGGCCTGCAGGGTGACTGACTCCAGCGAGAAGGGCAGCTCGGTGGTCCTGCGTCTGGCACCAAACTGTTTCCAGAGCCTGCCCAGTACAGAGCCGATGGGAAGAGGTGCTCGCTGTGCTGGGATTCCCTCTCGCCTGGCTGCTCTCGCGGATCCCTGGCTCTCGCCGCTCCCCTGCCTTCCACTCTGGGCTCCTGCACGTGCTGCTTCTCCCTGGGATTCAGCAGGCAGCCCTGGGCTTGCTGGCTCCTCTTGCCAGTGCTGCTGTGCCCGAGGCCCTGGCGGATGCTACACCTTAGCTCACCTGGGACAAACGGCCCTGCTGTGTGGCACTTGGCCTGGCATCAGCTCTGCAGGGAGTGGCTGGGGGGGAGGAGAGGAGATAGGGTGTGAAGCTGGGGAAGGAGGCGGTATGGTGGGGGAAGAGACCTGGTGTAAAGAAGGGGAGCCCCCATGTTCCCGCAGTGCCAAATGGATGACAACATTTTGTTTCCCGGGTGGACGTACTGACCAAATCCAGTTAGCAATTGATTTATCCCACATCTCCTTCACAATTTGGGAACATGCTTCCCTTTCTCCTGCCTGGATCATAGCCACTTGCCCCACATTTGGCTCAAACCCAGTTTGAGGCAAGGGTTAGGGTTAGGGTTATGCTCGAAGAAAGCCTGGAAGGCTTCCCACTCCTTTTTCCTTGTTTGATTACAGATTCATAATCACAGATGGGGTTCAAACAGAGGGCAGAGTTAAGGTTGTCTGGGGCAGGGATGGTTTGCTAAGAGAGTGGGCAGTGGGTGTTTGAGAGTGGGTATGTGTGATTTATTACTTGTAGTGTGTAGAAGCCTGGGTTCTGGGCCTGGGTCCCATTCTGTTAGATGCTGTAATATAGATTATATATTAGGTGCATTACAGTAGCACCTGGGTCCTTGCCATGACCCCATTGTGCTGGTGTTGGGACAAACAGAACAAAAAGTCAGTCTTTGCGCTCAGTGCTTGGCTTTATGCAGTATTTCCTGGGCTTGAGCATCGCAGCCTTAACTGCGGTTTCAAAACATGGGCTTCTATAATGTGCAAATCATGGTGGCTTCCGGTGGCCTGTGTGGTGCAGTATTTTTTTCAAATACAAACTAAATTAGGACCCCAGAGGGCTTATTCAGTTTTTGTTGGAAGATTCTTTGGAATGACTCAGATATGCACCAGGGAGATTTCTAACTGAAATAACAGAGAAATAACTGGTCCCCGGTGTTCATCAAGTCACGATTTTTAAGGCTAAAAGGGATTGTGGTGACCCTGCCCTGCTACATAACCCAGGTCAGAAAATTTCACCCTGTGTTATTATGGCCATGTAAATTCAGTAGATGGAAAACTGGACTGGGACTCAGGACCACTGGGTTCTATCCTAGCTCCGCCACTGACCTGCTATGTGACTTTGAGCAAGTTGTTTTGTTTTTCTGTGCCCCATTTTCTGCTTCCACCCTGTGTGTCTTCTCTATTTTAAGGGTTAATCCTTTGAGGTGGGGTTGCTCTCTGTCTCTCTATTGTCCTACACACAACCTTGTAATGAATTAGTTAAACCAGGGCAAACCCGTGTGGACCCATTTAAAACTGATCGCAGTTTATGAGGGCAAGCCCAACCAATATAGACCACATTTAATCAACTGATTTGACCACATTTCCTCACAAAGAGTTAGACAAATTCATGGATGATAGGTCTTATCAGTGGCTATTAGGCTAGTGAATGGGCCCATGAGAGGCCCTCCTTCATGTCACTGGGCCGCAAGATTGTCGAAACTCAAACAGTCTCCCTGGATTAGGTAACGTTGCTAACAGGATTAGGAAATGTTGCTCATGTAGAATTTGCAGCATGCCAACTGAACCATAGCAGTGCTTTGACGGGATGCAGAAGGAGCACACAGCTTTTACAACGTTCACCATGCACCTCACTTTATGTGTTCTTGCTTTACATGTGTGTCAATTTTATAATATTGATAGGGAAAAAAACACATGGACAGAAACCAGTGGAATCTGGTAGCCCTGCACACGGGCAATGCTAAACAAAATGTCTCCTGGGTCACACACAGAGCCCCACTGGGCAATCCCCGTAGCCTCTGTTGTCAGAAACTCAGAATGGATCACTTGGTGATTCCTTGTTCTGTTCATTCCCTTTGGGGCACCTGACATGGGTCATTGTTGGAACATAGGACACTGGCCTAAATGGACCTTTGGCCTGACCCAGAATGGCTGTTCTTATGTATGGATTTAACCAAACTGTTTAAAAATGACACCTGTATAGTGAGACTGTGCAGACCAGGCTGTTAGGTTATGCTACTGTAATATGAATAATCTCTAGTCCCCACTCCCTGGCCAGAGCTGGCCTCCCTGCTCTAACCACTAGCCCCCACTCCCCTCCTAGAGCTGGAGAGAAACCAGGAGTCCTGCCTCCCCCACTCAATCTCAGTTTGATTCAACAGCTTGGGAAAGGAGGCGGGTC